ACACGCGGAAGGACACTTACGAATTGCCTTATCGTCCTGCATATATAAAGACGTAGTCGTATTAATTATATTGGCTAACTTTTTTTTGACAAAGCCTTTAACCGGCGATCATTTCTGCTCAAACAATAAATAAACTTTTCTCCATACGTAATTATAAAAATACCGTACATAATGTACAGATATAAAAATATTGCAGCATAAATTCAATTCTCGAATAAGATACATATATTTTTTCATTACCGATCAAAGAGCGTATTTTTTATCAGGAATTTCTATTTTTGCCGAAAAAGATTACATGACACTTCTTTAAAAAACGATGCGTCGAATATCTTGTTTTCTCGAACGTGAACTCGAAGCTGTGAAAGGTCAGCAGCTATGCTAAAGCAACGATAAGTGAGAGAGAGAGAGAGAGAGAGAGAGAGAGAGAGAGAGAGAGAGATGCGTCACTCTGGAATCACTGCTGCCATTTTGGCCTCGGCATATATGCGTGCCCTCATGTCGTTTACGAGAATCTCGCAAGCATAAGCGTCTAATATCGCACGCAAATTGCCGGCGATAGTAAAGAAGAATTGCTAAATGTCGCTTTCTGACTTGCGACAAGTTTTTGTATCGCTAAGAATTTTTAATAAGGCAGAGATCGTAAATGCTGAACAAATACAAACACGTATTCGCTATAATATTATCATTTTCACAGCATCCTCGTCTTCGATCGAGAACTTTGCTCGAAAAGTGAATTATCTCCACGGCGCTAGAAGCGAGTGTCAAGTAGGAGCGGGGCATAAATATTAAGAACCCAAAGTTACGATGCAGTTATGTGGCCTCGCGGGCCTGGCGTGAATTTCATATTCTTATCAACATATTATTTGGGAAATCGCAAATTTCGGGCATCACGACAATGACCGAGCCTGGGCACGAAAGCGCAAATTTATTCATAATAATCTTCGACCCCGCGACCATAGCGAGGCGGGTTTAACGTAGCGGGCACGCTCGCATATTCAGCACAGCCGACGGCGAATGTGAGTCACGATCCCGTTTGCGTTTCCCGCAGGCATCGTCCGGAAGTACAGCCCGTAAAAATACAACCGTTTCTCCTCGAGACGCGGCACCGTTATCTCTTCGCATGCGGACAGGCTCTTCCTTTTTCGCCGCTTACGGCGTTCGACGAATAATTCGATTCTCCATAGATCGCATCAGGCTAATTATGAGCCACTTCATAGTTGAGTAACATTCTCGGCGGCAATTAGCCGCTGTTGACAAACGCAATTTACGAGATGTAACTTTACGGCAGGGGCAGGCGGACAGAAGCCGTGCCGGGGCCATTGATGTTACCGAATACATCGACGATCCGTGTTGTTGCTTCCGGAGTGGTCGTCTTCCGCTTCTCGTCGCCGCGCGGAGCTCAGTTGTTCGCCAACACGAGGCTGCGTGCCGACAAAGTGTTCCGGGGTTCACGGGGAGGGAAATGGGAACGACGTTATGACCCTTTGTCTCCACGCTGAACCGCATCCTCGCGTTGCTTTCATTATGCAAGTTTTCGAGATAATCATGTGGGTGACATACTGTAATAATAAATTGTTAGGATGCCGCGTGGGAGAGAAATGTAATGATAATTAACAGGTTACAAAATTACTGCGGAACTAATTGTAATTCTTAAGCGACGACCAACTGTTCGATGCCGGATTCGTGAACTGCAGTTGATCGTTGTGCAAATTAATTATTTTATCATTTTAGAAACAAGATTCTGAAAACTCCTTTTTTACCGAGACAGCAATATCAATTTAACGGTTGTGGATAAAAAACTTTCAAGTAATCGAATATTTCTCTCTCTCTCTCTCACGAATAAGCTGCAAATTGAGATACTGTTAATAGCAATATGAAAGTTTCTTGGTCCCTTCTTTGCCTGTTACTTGGCAATAACCCCTCTGGCCGCATGCCACTAACTACCCCAATAGAGATTTCACGTCTTTATAGGCTAAGTCCGGTTGGCTTGCGCATGATTTACGCGTACTTTCTTAATCCAGCGTATACCTATTACAACACTTATTAAATACCTCGCGCGCCTCGAAAGTTCCCAACAGCCATCGGCTGTCTTTAGAATTATTAGACCGGAATTACGTTTACGCGCCTGAATCTCTCGCGCGCCCTCATTCGCCCCGCACATTCCATTGGCGGGGTGATTTGCGAAATATAGCACGCGCGCGGCGCGCTGACCGACGTCCGCAAACGGAGTGGACTGCTACGTACGCGAGTGCAATAACGGTCGCTGGCAGACAATATTCGGCCGACGGCGGGGGGAGGGGGGTGCGCGTACGTGAAACGTGGAGAAATGTTCGCGGCAGGAGGTAAAGGCTGGTGGAGAGACGAGAGAGGTACGGTGGAAGGCGACGGAGGGACCACCACGTTGTCACACAGGGAGTTGGAGGCTACAATGGCAGTGCGTCTTCTGGCGCCCCGGAGTCTCCCGACACGCCTTCCAGCGCGAATGCCGCAAGAACTCGCTTATCTAGTGCACGCGCGTTCTTCCATACGCCGCGATATTGCAATCCACACCTCCGGGAGGAACATTATTCACTCGGCGCGAGATTTCGCCCGGTACCGAACGCGGAAGCGACGATTACGAGGCTGTTTACGCGTTATTTTGCCCAACAGTCGCGCACATCGAGCGGGACACGCCGACTCGTCGCTTATGTGTGCAATTTCAAGGATTTATTATATATTAATCGGAGGATAAAACGCACGTTATTTCGAATCGACCGAATTTTGAACGATTCCGCGCGCTACAACCGATAATTATAGCCATTGCGGATTGAAGCATAACGTGTTTCACCATGCTGCATTATCCTATAAAATATTTACAAACATTTGCTCGAATGCGAATCAATGTTAAAAATGTAATCCTTGATTTCGACGGTTTATGTGATCCATATTACGGCTTCGACGGATAATCCGCCGTCGATGAATTATGGGCCAGAAGTATAACGCGCATTAACTTTATTCTGATAGTAAAGTGAAAATAAAGTTCATATTTTATTGCCGTACCTTATAAGTTAAAAAACATAATGTATTACCGCCCGAAAGCTATTAAATCCGAAATAATGACGTCGACAAAGATATCGCGTCCTAAAAAGAAGGATCATGCAAATATCCTCCTCTAAATATTTGCATGACTTGAAAAAGCTAAATTGTTTTCCGAGAACATCAATCAAATTCACAGGCGATTCATTATAGCGTGATTGTGTTTTATAGGGTTCGTAATTAAGGACCGACTCGAAAATTTTCCGTCCATCATGTGTCAATAGAAACCGTATTTCCTTTGCAGATTTATTAATCGCATTTTCTGGGCAAAACCCCATTAAACTATTCCCGATATAACTAATCGATATTTCACACGATCAATTATCTTTATCGTTTATTCCACGTGAAGGCGAATGGATTGACTGAATATGTATGAACTTCCAAATTGCGCTTACATAACAGCCGAACTAATATCCGCAGCCGATAGATGAGAGTTACATGTATAATATCGTGTATTTGATGTCGCCAGGATATATCTTTAATCTATTTGCGTCCCACATATATTTCGAAAAATAATTAATGATTAATCGCGACAAAATGTATGAATCATACTTGCGATCGATTTTAGCCATTTGTATCAATTTTATATGCTGTTAATTATGAGAATGTTGCCTTTAGTCTGCGATAAAATTTGTTATAAAATGCTCAGCCATGTTATACAAGTATTGGATCAATCGTATACCGCAGAAAACACTGAGAAACGTTTTACAAGGGGAGGATAACACTGCCGCGCCAAGAAATTATCCTTCATTTCAAGTGGTATCTTAAACTTTGAGTAAATGAAAGGTCAGTCATAATTGAAAGCAAATTGTAGTTTTCAGTTCGAAGTATGTTTGACTTGGGACGGTATAAAATTAATTCTACTTGGATTTTAGAATGATATTTCTCTCGTTGCCGTTATATCTAGTTATTTAAACTGGAAACTTATGTTAACTCGTACTATGTCCGATGAAACTCTTTTCACTGAGCAGATTAAGAAAAATATCGAGTCTTTAAAAGTAGCGTAAAACTTTCAGCGAATATGTTAATTACTCTTTATTTCGAGTAATATTAAAAGCAGTGAGGCAATAAAATGGACAAAAAAGGTAATTACTCGTCTAATTTTAACTCAATTTCCAACAATTTATGCTCATTTACTAAACTCAACACATATTTTTTATGCAAAATTTTATCTCGTATAACTGTGTTTGTTTTTTTCCAATTTAACGATGTTGCAGTTTAAATAAATTTTTTTTTCAATAATTAACGCGATTATCTTTTATTTGTCGCTTCCTTTCTCTTCTAATCTCCATTCCGAGCAGAAATTACAATCGCGAGTCGCCATAAATCGAGAGCGAGAGCCGACTCTCGGTATCGACAAAGTCATATTATTCTCGCGTTCGTCTCTTCCGTCTTCAGGGCTCATGCCAAAAGACATACCCGAGCGGCCAAAATGAGCGTGCCACAGGTTGTGAGCGACCTCGAAAGCGCAGCGGCTGCGACGCGTAGGTTAGAGGGATAATTAATCGTCACCTATTGATAAGAGATAAGTGAGTGGGATTAAGACGCGCGCGGAGTCTGGGTAGGGAGGCTCAAGAGTCGCGAGAAGCGGAGAGGCGTCTGCGCGTGGCGGGAAAAGAGAGGGGATGATACAGGAGGGTAGAGAAACACGCTCTTCGGCAACTACCCTCAGTCGGGATGCCGGTCGCGCACCCTCTCGTTCATCCGCCACCGCGATGATCAGTGAGAAACGTGTCCAACGTGTCCCGGGAACCGTGCGAGGCCGACTCCGGCTGTTGACTGGCGCCGTGCTGCTGTCGACGATCGCGGGAAGTGCATGGACCGACAATCCCCTCACATCCGGTGAGTGAAAGAGGGAGGAGGAGAGAAAGGGAGAGAGAGAGAGAGAAAGATACAGATCGATCGCGTCGCAAGTCGCGCGTCTCTATCGATATCAGATTTTGCCGGTCCGCTCGCTTAGATATGAATAGTCATTAGTTAACAGCCTCGCGCGCTTAATCTACAAACCGGCTTGCAACGTGTTGATTATCGCCCGGGTTCATCCGAACTTCTCCGCGACGAGTTTCGTCCTCGTGCGCGAGTGCTAAATTCACCGCCGCGGTGCTAATTGAATCCCGTACGAACTGCGGCCACCCTCCGAGTAGGAATTTTGCTACCCACACGCGCCCCGGTTTCGCGTGTGCGGGAAGTTTAACGAGTTTCGGTGCCGCCGTCGCTGCGCCGTCACCGTCGTCGCGACGGACGCGGATTTACTCTCTCTTGTTTCCACTGTAGGGGAACACTGCTAATGCTAATGCTTGGTATTCCACATCGTGCGGATTTGTGGTGCCACATCGTGCCTCTTACTTACGAATGTGCCTCTCATGCGCGAGAGTTGATCGCCTCGCGCGGGGAGTAAATCGAAGCGTGTATACAATAGTTTCTAAGACTCTCGACGCCGGTGTACGAAGATGACTGTGAATTATGGGCGAGATATAAACTAGTTCGCTCACACCTCCACATTTATTCCAATGCAAATGTATTCGTCTTTTTTACTTTTAAATATGCTTTTCTTAATATTATATGATGATCTTGCAATTTTTATATCTCAAGTATAAAAATTGATTCGAAACTTTGATATTATTTTCATTCATTTGCCCTGCACAATTGTATTTTTATTGTAAATGTTAGAAGATAAATATCTATGACGAAGATCTTTTTCACAATCTTTTCCACGAAGTCGGCCCAAGAATACATAATGGTGCGCAGAGCAAATGCACAACGCGATAACAAGTTCCGAGCAAAATTTTGCACGCGCTACTTTGCGATATCACGCAAAGAATCGCAGCGCCGTGATAGTTTTAGATGATTTATTTTATAATAAATTACGTTATGATAGAGATACGTTAGAAAGTGTTAGACTTAATAATTTCCTGATCAATCCTTTAATATGCTGCTGCTATTGCAGTCACAAAGATGTGTCTCTGTTCGTTGCACGAAACATGGTAATATTAAACCCTTAGGCAAGTTTGCGGTTTACGCTGTTAGTTGCAAATATCGCATGCATATTAGTAATTGCGGATATTGAGTAATACAAATTGTTCAATTATCCATGTCTTAATAATATGATTACCTACGTTTGTCGGAAATATGCATTACGTAAATCTTATACGAAATGATTCATTAGCGAAAATTGTTCTACCCGTTAATCCTGCTTTTATTTGCTTTTACGAGTACGGTTGCACAGTGAATCTATAATTCAATGAAACTAGAATTTCCAACTATACACGCTTCGACGATTTCGTCGCAATTACGTGATATGCTTGTCATAATTAGGTTGCACTCTGTGTGTAGAGGAATATGAAGCCCTTGAGCTGATTGCTGCTTGCTGTATCGATACAAGGTCATACTACATGAGCCAATTTGATTCTTCGAAATGTCCTCTTATTAATAACAAGTTTAATGAATTTTTCAAAAAGTCGCGGAATATTTGAAAAATTTTCTCGTTTTTGTGGATATTACGTTTTTATTTGAACAAGTCGAAAACATGTTTTTCATTCAAGATATTACTTTTTGTATAAATACTCTATTCAAAAACATCGACACATTTAGTCAAACAAATTCTAGGTACGTGACATTAAAAAATTTCAGTCTGCAACATTTAGATATCTTTTCTTATATATAAATTATTTTCCGTATACCGTGATACTGTTATTGTTTCTTTATTTTCTCATCAATGCGCAAAACACATTGAAAACTTTACTGGATCGCTGGGAAAGCTTGTTTCGAAATGCGTCGAATTTTTTATGAACGGGGTTAATATTTTATACTTGAAAATTTTACTATTTAGATATTTTTGCACCTTATAATTTAACTACACAATTTTACACAATTACACAATTTAAATATACAAAATTTTAGACAATTTAAACAATGATTTTTCGTGATAGCAGTAATTATCAGATGATTATTGCAATTATTCTTTATTTAAATAGCGTAATATTTCTCTATTGTGTATTGCACAATTTTCTTTTGCCTTACATCAATATATCAATAGAATAGAATTTTCGACGCGAAATAGGCTGCCTTCTATAGCGTTAGCAAAATTGGTTACATACTTGTAACTGCCAAATGCGATTCGAGTACCAACGATTTCGGGCGATTACGCGGGACACCACGATATAATTTGGTTTCGCAGATGTGGAATGAATATGAAATTCCTGAGGTAGAACTACCTCTTCTGACTAATTTCTCGCATATATTCTATGCGCTGTTACAATGCCATGTAAAATACCTGATGCGTGATTGCTATTTTGCTAATTGTGCCTCTTACATGATGAAATTTCAAGCTGGATGCGTTTTCACACAAAACAAAATCCCGATTAGACTCATTTCGATATAATATCCAAACATACATTTTGCGCAGCTATTTTTCGCGTTACTGAGATCCAGTTATTTCGCATGCGTGCGATATACAATGCGTGATGGATTTCGAAAAAAAAGTTACGAAACTGTAACTACTATTGATCTATGAGAAGTTCTCTTGTTTCACGCCAACAATTGACTGCATGGTAACGTTTTATACAGGTCAAATAGGATCGTCGTTGTCCAGCGTGAAGCACGATTTTTTGCCTCCCAGATAGACCATAAAACAAAAAAAAAAAAAAAAAAAAGGGAACTTGTTGGGTGTATCTTGTGACACGAAATTTCAATGCGCAGCACTTGTCGCTTTACGCGCATCCCAATTGATTTCGGTCGTTTTATAATTAAGCCGAGCTACTGATTTATACAATTAGTAAATTTGGGAGCGTGATGCAATCGGATGCATTAACGTGCAGTCGTGTAATGCATGCTACCATAATTCGCGGTAATAATATCTTTCTACGTGCGCATTACTTTACACAAAAATTTCATTTGAAGTCTTGATGTTGTATAAAGTTCTGCAATAACGCTAATTTCAAAATTATGTGGCTTTCACATTATTAGTAAAATAATTATTTTTAATGAATTATTAAATTAACGCAAAGTGTTGAATTTCACAATATATATAAAAAAAAAGGAGTAAAAATTTCAAAAATCTTGTAAGCAAAAATTGTTTAAGAAATTTTCGTTTAAGATCAAGATCCAATCCTTTCAAATTCCCTTATAATTTGTAAAGCATAATGTATTGCTGGTTACAGCACTAAACTTATTATCCGTAAAATGAAACCGAATCTGAGCGAAATAGTGTTAAAACCAAAGCAGCATTCTTTTCTTTCACATCTGGCCTGTAAAAAAATGTTGAAGCAGTCTGTCTATATTATGAAAATGGGTCACTGAATTTGATCACTGAATACTATCAGCCTCGTCGGGACATTTAAGAAGTTTTAGTTTTACAGAGATGCCGTTATACACTTTTTAATAGGATTTACAAACTGGGTTAAAATCAACTTCGCGCTTCACTCATTTTCTCAAAGGTGTCCTTATAAACTAACAATGCGCGTATGACCATACCTTTGACAAACGTTCGTGACTGCGTTGTAAGAGCTTTTAATAATTAAGCGTCATTCAGCTTGTCAACTTTGAGAGGACTTTCGCCGATTACACGTCATTATATTTATCTTTCTACGTACGGCACGTTCGATGTCGGAGTCATCAATTACGTGAATAAATCTTCATTTATTTGCATAAATATTTTCAATGTATGATGAATACGCGAGATACGTTTCTTGATGCAAATTTTCGGCTGTCATATTTTATTGACCAGGGTCGGCCGACCGAGCTACATCAAATCATCAGGGTGCACGCGACTGTGCAAGTGAGCGCGCTGTTTTACTGCTTGCTCCTGGATGTAATAAAAAAATTTCCAGCACAGGATATTCGAGTAAAAGGATGTTTGAAGGACCGGTTATAGCGGTACTCGGCCAGTCGTAAGAGCGGGGGTCTCACAAGCGGTAGTGGTGGATGTAAATGGAAATAAGCTGGAGGGAAGGTACTGAATCTTACGGCGAGACGATAATCTAACCGAGTAGCAGATTCTCGAGACGGAGCTTACGCTTGTAGTATCTTGTCCCCCTCTCGTAATATTATGAAATTACGATTTATTGATTTTTGCCGTACTCGAGTAATGAATTGTCCTGTGTACACTTGTGCACACCCAAAGGCAGATGTGCGAAGGAATAAATTATTACCGACGAAATTTAAGTTCTCGTTAACCGTGATTGATGACATTCTCATTTACCTAAAAAGAAAATAATTTTGACATTTCCCCTTATAAGAGGCGGAGGCTCGAGAAAATGGGCTCGAAGAAATTGAACAGATAAATTCATTTATAAAAAGCGAGACGGCAAATCCCGGTGCATTTCGGAGTGAAATAGCAAATGTAGAAATCTCCGCCGAGATAGCTTCTCGCGCGCGCGTTAGTAGATTTAAGCATCTTCAAGTGTAAATCTTAGGGTATGGAAGAAAAGACAGGAGGAGTAAATGCGCGGCTCCTGTCGATTTATCTTCAGTAAGAAGGGAATGCTCTCAAAGTAAATGCCGGCTGTAAATCAGCTCGCATTTTCTTTGGCCACGTGCAACAAAAGCATGCGTGTGATGTATGCACGAACTGTATATAACTCGCACCAGTAGCGTAGGAACGGCAGCGAGGGCAACGAGGGTATGCACTCAACGCGAAATATCCACTAAATTTCTTAAAGCCGCGGTGTGACGTAATTCTCCGCCGGGCTGTCAGCTTCTCTCGATTCAAATAAATCGAACTTATTTAACGCCCAAGTCGTGCTTATTTGCGCAAATATCGGACCGTTGAAGTGGGAGCTTCGCGAAATTGATTTGTCGTCTGATCGACACGGAAGACCCGGTTTGAATTTCGCGTACAAGAC